CCTCCATCCCACCTCCTCCCCAATCTGGGAGCTCATCCTCAGAAGCAGCTAGGTAATTTTTCAGGCAGGATAAAGGAGTGGGGCACAGCAGTGACTTATGTGCTTCTGGTGGGCATAGAAATCATGAGTGTATGTGTGGTCTTCTCCCTGCCTGCTCGCTGCCTCCAAGTCTCATGAAGCAAGTGCTAAACACCTGCTCCCTGGCCACATCCAGGAGTGACAGAGGGCTGGAGAGTAATTATTATTTTGGCTTATGCAACTGAGAGGCAGGGTTCATTATTCCTCAAAGGGGAGGAGGCGTGGGGGGCAGTTAATTATATAATGCTCCTGCCTGTCAGAGCCGTGCCCAGCCCTGGTCCCAGGCGGCCTCTTCTGTGCTGTTGTTTTCACTGATCAGGTTGGAGAGTTCCCTGACCCTGGGGCGTGGGGGCCAAGCAAGCAGACGGACCTGCTGGGTTCCAGGTCGTGGGCGTGTGTGTGTGTGTGTGTGTGTGTGTGTGTGTGTGTGCGTGTGTGCACCCATGTGCAGGCACAGCAAGGTCTGGGCGGCAGATGTGGGTGGCTGAAGTGGGCGGTTGAGCAGCCTGGCACTCCCAGCTGGGCGCTTTGGGAGCCCAGGAGCAGTTGTCACCTCAGGGCTCAGGCCAGGCTGCTCTGCAGATCCATCTCTCCATAGGTGCTCCCAGATGTACTTAAGCCAGGAGAGTGGCTTCACGGTCCTGTGCAGGGGACCCTCACATGGGAGCATGCGGAGGAGAGGAGTCAGGAACTCCCCAGAATGTCTAAGGGTGAAGTATAGCACCCCAGTCTGCCCACCTTCCCTGGACATCTTCAGTGGCCTGTGGAATTCTGTCCATCGTTCAACAAGTATCTACTGAGTGCCTACATTGGTCAGGTGCTCTGGACTCTGGGAAAAGAGCAATGAGCAAAGCAGACAGAAATCTTGGCCCTCATGTAGCTTCCATTTAGAAGGAAGGGTGGTAATTACGTTTTGATTACTGGGGGAAGAGAGGATCTGATTCTGTGGTTGGACATGAGTTTAGGGTCCGACATGTTGATGTGAGAAACGCTTCGTTTATTGGATTTGTCCTCGGGTCTCTTTCCCTGTCCAACCAGCTAAGCAGTGTTCAGCTCCCTAAGGCCCTTCCCCTCTTCATCTTCTTGTTTGGGTGTCACATGATGGAGGGGTTCATATTCATTTTACAGATGAGATTAGGAAGGCCCAGGGGCCAACCCCCTAGCCTTTGGTGGCACAGTTGAAGGTCTGAACCCTGATCTGTCCTCACCACACCACCTGTATGCCAACAGAGGCAGACACTGATGCAGGGTGCCGGGGCCAGCTGCTCCCTTTTGGTTTGTGCCGTGGCATGGCGGAAAACGAAACTGACCCTTCTGGCCTGGGATAATCAAGCCCAGACATCTGGGGCCACTTTGCTGGAACATGGCCCCACTTCTCATTAGGAGGCCAGTGACTGTGGAGATTGTGTGCCTTTGAGCAGTCCATCAAGCGGGTAGAGCCTAAGTGGGATCTTGTAATCTGCCTGAACAAAGCAGCGGGTCTCTATGCCTTCTCCCCCATCAGCTGGTGGGCTGTGATGGGTCTCCCTTCTGAGAGGGCAGAGCCTTTAATGAGTTAATGGTTCAACCCAGCTTTTCCTGTGCACAAGGGATGGGAATACTGGGCAGGCATCAGCAAAGCTCCCAAACTTCAGCCCAGCTCCTAGTGCTGACTTGGGAAAACAGTGATATTCATGAGTAATGCACAAACAGCAAATGTATTCTACATTTAGCTGGAATTGGTATGGAATACATTTCAACTGGAGACACTTATGCCAACAACTTTTCCTTCAGGTTCACAGTCCCCTGAGCACAAGGCAGGTGTTGCCCATTGAAGTGAACTGAGCTGCTTCCACAGTCTGTTGGGTGACTCCCAACAGAAGATGGCGAGGCTGGGGGTGTTCGGTGGCAGGAGCTCCTGCTGTGGAGTTTATAGCTGTTGTGCTTGAATTCCTGCTATGCCTTTGCTCTGTGACCTTGGGCAAGTTATTTAACTTCTCTGAGCTTCTGTTTCTTCACCTGTTCAAAGAGTTGATAATAATACCTGTAAATTTGGTGGATTACTTGAGGTGGTGTACATGCTATCCCAGTAAGCATTCATTATTATCCATCACTAATTTTATTACAGTTCACATGCAATGAATTTCACGTGTAACGATTATTTTTTTTAGAACCAATAGCCAGACATGGCAATGATAATATTGAAAAGGATACTGTATGGCAATATTAAACACTGCGTGCATGGCATTAGGCAAGTGTTTGCGTGAATTATAGCACTTAATCTCTGTACCTTTCCAGGATTTTGTCCCCCATTTCCCACATTGGGGAGTAGAGGCTCAGAGAAGGCTGGTGCGCATTGGGCCACACCCAGATTCACACTCAGGATGGTGATTCCGGAGCCGGTGCTTTTGTCAGGAGCAAATCTCTCTAAACTGCCTGGTCCAAAACGACCTCCTCCTTTCCCCCTCTTCCTCCACACCCATTCTTCTCTTCTGGGTGCAGCAGCCCAGACTTGTAGGCAAGTGCATGTTCGCAGCACATTCCCCTGCCCCCCGCCACTCCTGTCCCACCGAGTCACATTGCCTCTTCTCCACTCGCTGGACCCCTGTGCTAAGCCACACAGGTAAATATTTCCTCCTGGGTCCTGAGTACACAGGATTCCTGGGACCAAAAGTTACCCCCCGCAAATAAACCCTCCCACAGCCTGAAAGATATGAGTCATCTCACACACCCGGCCTCTCCCCCTCATACACAGATTCCGATCACCGGCCCAGATCCCTCCACCCACACAAATCACACACGCCCACAGCCAAAATTCAGATCTCCCGGCGCCTGCGCGAGCAGGCGCACAATATACCTGTCACCCAGAGACGTTTACCATCCTGTCCCCCAAAACACAGCCACGTGCAGCCTCCCAGCTTTGTTCTCTGGCCAAGTACTCCAATCCCTACTGATTGCTGCTCCTGAGAAGCAGCCCTCCCTGTGAAGGGAGAGCACCAGCCCTGGAGGAGGGCTCAGATTACAGATGGAGCAGACTGCTGCCTTCCCACTTGAAATCCATGGCTATGCAGCGAATGCCCCTTGTAAGGACGAAACCCCTCATCCAAACAAAATAAACCACCGTCGGGCATAGTTTTGGTACTTAGCCGTGGATACGTGGAAGTAAATTTTTTTAAATCCAAATGCCCAGGTTAAGAGGAAGTGGGGCCCATCGAAACTCCTTTCGGAAACAAAAAGAATCCAGCACTCAGCTATGGGAGATAAAAGCATCATCTCCTCAGAAATTCTCTTTCAGCCACGTTGGGGAAGGAGAAGGTCCCACGAGGTGAAAGCAGAAGGTAAAAGCAAATAACTAGTTCTTTGTTGCCAATAATAGCTGAGAAAGAAGTGTTACTGAAGACTCCCTCACCCGGCACAGCCCTGGAGCAATTTGACGGGCTTTATATTAGGAAGCCTGACGGGGCTGGTGAGGAAGTGAGGATCAGCACCCTCCGAAAATAGCCACTGCAGCGGTAGTTAGCGAGTAGCCCCCAGCTGACGTTAACAGTTAGCGCAGCTAACCTGATGAAACGGGACTGTGGGCCCTCCTGGCTAGAGAGAGGCAGACCCTGGAAAAACAAAGGGGGGTGGTGGCTGTGGAGGGAGGGCCAGGAACCTCTGCTATTTTTTTTTTTCTTCAAGACTCCCTTTCTTCCTCAATTTCCCTCAGGCCTCCACTACTCTAAAGATAACTAGCTGCCAACTCTGAGCTGGTAATTTTGTATATAAAACTCATCATGTCCTCAAATGACTACAAGATATTGAGAGTTGCGAGCACGAGAAAAAGAGTGGTGTTTGTTTTAATTTTCCACGATGGTCCATCCCCTCTTGGATCAGCCGCTCCCCCAATTTGTAGTTTTCTGGTTTGTGAGAGGCCACGTGGTAGATGAAGGTGAGCACAGTGGGGTTCGGCGAT